GTGTGTGTGTGTCTATATATATATATATATATATATAAAGGATGGGATGGTATTGATTGGATTGATCTCGCTCAGGATAGGGACCAGTGGAGGGCTCTTGTGAACACGGTAATGAACCTTCGGGTTCCATAAAATGCTGGGAAGTTCTCGAGTAGCTGCAGAATTTGCGGCTCCTCCAGTAGGGCTCAGCTCCATGAGTAAGTAAGTAAGTAAGTAAGTAATTACAACAGCAAACCCTGCGTAAAAACTCACCACTTTTCTACAAACTGTAGATTGCAGATTAAATTGAAGGATATCTTTTCTAGGTACTTTACGGATACTAAGAATTATCGAACAAATTTCATGTCATCACCCTAATGAACAAAATACTTGTCAATGGCTCCTTCCTTAACAAAGAATTTGCTGTTGCCAACCTTATGAACAAAATTCTTGATTTCTGTGGGTCAATTAAAAACTCTTGTCACTTATCTAGGCAATGCAGAGTCGAAAATAATAATGACTGACGAGAGATGAATTGGAAAAATTAGGAAGGAAGTTGTCACTATATAATCGACATATTTCCCCCTGAATTTACCTGGAGGGACCGAGAAATACCACGAAACCCCTGAAACAGGAATGCAGGTGTCCAAGCCGAAATTCGAACAGGCCATTTCCCGAATATGAGCTGGCGTTACTGACACGCCAAACTGCCTTTCTTATGGGACGTCTTGCTGTAGCCGCCCTTGTGGACAAAACATTTTCGGTAGGACGTCTTCTGGGACAAAGAATTTTTCTGGCCCCGTCCAACGTTGATTATCAAGTCTATACATGTTACACGATAAACAAGGAGTGTCATTCGACGTTTAGAAAACACATATGACACTGTCACATGCAGAATATTCAGTGTACGCAGATAGGAACCCTGAATACGAATGGATATTGAAGAGATTTCTGACAGCCTTGTACTGTTCATGAAAATATGCACATATGATGGATGGAACTAAGAATGTCACGTTACCTGATGTTCTTCTAGCAGTTTGAAGAAGGAGTTGGGTTCGAATCTGGGCAGCGTCACGAACTTGACACCTTGGGCTAGTTTAGACAGCAACATAATACTGATGCCATAGATGTGGAAAAAGGGCATAATTACCGGCAGGACATCCTGATGTGAACCTGCAAAGTTATGAGCTAAATGAAAATTGGTTTCTGGAGGCAGAGACAAGAGTTATGAAGAACTGAGAGTAAGTAGGTTAGCGCTGCGTTAACCGTTTGACAGATGAGCTCGAGGGTGTAGTATCTCTAATAACAAAGACTATCATTAAACACTATTCTCACAAGCTATAGCGTGTTCGGCTCTAAATATCAATCAATCAAAACATTGTCGCATGTTAAGTGACTAGAACTGTGTTTGGATTGGTAATTGGATTTATTGGACACTTAAAACCCGCAATTACAGTTAATTATACAGCAATCGTTAATTCACAACAGCACCCACTACTCGTAAGCCTTCCTCAGTCTGTTGGGTCTTCAGTAGTCGTTGCTTGTTAACGACTTTCAACGGCGTACATTCCTCTGCTTCCATGTTCCAAGGCTCCCGTCCTCGCTGGCTGGCGCCTGCCTCACGACTAACTACATCAACGTCAAAGTCACGTTACGATCTGCGGTCTGTCTACCAGACAATTTTGATGTCCAGCCCAATCTGCGACGCAAGACCAGATATTTGTTACACTCACACAGTTACGGATTTGTCCATGTGGGGTGTCCTCTCTGACGAGAGGACTGGTGACTATGATGGGTCGGTCGGTTAAATTTCTGCTGATATTCGCCAGCACAGTCATTCCTGGCTTCAGTCCCCTCGAAATCCAGGACCAACATTTTCATTCTGTCTTAATTATGTAGGTGTTTAGAAAATGGGTCTCTTCTTCGACGAGGGGAGGGGGATCGATCTTCAGTGTAGGCACTGTGTTTGTTGCCCTGTAGTTTCAGCACGGGTATATCCGCGCTGTCAGAGGGCCAGGTCGGTACGGATTCTGTGCATCCGTTGTCACTGCACTAAACTAGGTAACATTATGCAAGGTACACAGATCTTTTCTGTCAAAGCAGTTTTATGCATCAGGTCATTCCTTACTTTATTTCACCACTCCAAACCTGCAGTTAGTAAGCTGAACGGTCGTAGATCTGACCGCCGCCAAGTTTACGCCTCTAAAGCTTGGGCTTCCTCTGGTAGCGGTACCGTAATCAAGCGGCCGTAATATGACGGTGAATGACGTCACTAAAACGTTGCCATGGAAACAAAGGAACATGGCAATTTTTTAGTGACGCCATTCACCGTCATATTACGGCCGCTTGATTACGGTACCGCTACCCGAGGAAACCCAAGCTTTATACTTCCCAGGCCTGGTTTATCCTTCCCCAGTAACATGTACATTCGGTTTTACGTGGTTTAGGATTACTTCTGCCTGTGTCCTGCATAATTTAGTTATGTAGTCATACACGTAAGGAATTCTGAAAGCCACGTGCAATTCGCGGACTGGTGTGCACCTGTCGAGGTGTCCAGTAGCATAGAATTCTCTGTTCAGCAGGTGCTGTAATTTCAAGAGATGAGCGTCTGCCACGTACTCCCAGGTGACACATGGATAAGTCATAACTGGCCTATTTAGAACGTTATAAAGCATAAGATGAATATTTGTATTTAACCTTCCAATTCTGAATAGAGAAAATATCCCTATATATATGCGCAAGGCCTTGGCAACCTGGAAAGACTGGGAATTATTTCTACCATAAAAACGCTGATTTACAATTATTGATAACCACTGTGACTCCAATCGAATTTCTCCCAAAAATTGATCGGTGAAACTGCTTATATAAAACTGAGGGTCGTACCTAGGGCGGGCTCACAGGTACTTATCTCAGGCGAATCGTTGTGCTGTGCGATGTTTGAAACTATGTTTCGGTGGCTCAGCATCACACCTTTGGGAAACCCCGTCGTCCCGCTTGAGTACGGCAGAACTGCCGTGTCTTCGGCGTTCCCAGTAAATCGAAAGTCTGAAGTATCAATTCCATCTCGAATCATCTCTCGGAAGTCAACAGTCCCAGTCGGAATGTGAGAACCTGGTTCAATTCCCGGTGCAATGACAATGAGAGGCTTCACTTGTCTGGCAGCCAGTGCGATGGCTTTCTGCACCTTGGGGAGTACAGTGGACAGTGTCACTATTGCTTTGGGCTCGCAGTCTCTTAACTGCCGCGACAGTTCATCTGAAACAAGAAAGATATTCTCAGGAAAATTAAGTGAGGCTCCCAATGTTGCTCCGTATAATGCACAAAAGATTAAACCTTCAAAACCCAATATAATACCACTTGCTTAAACATACTAAAAATTTGCATTCTGCCCTCACACTGTATTGTGTGCCTTTACGGTTCTCACAATAAACAGCCACACGGAGTAACATGTTTCATATGAGGTAATTTGAGATATGAACTGAAATGTTACAGATTGTTTTGAAAAAGTATCACTAAAGATTTAACATCGTAAAAATAATTTATGAGTACTTGAGACGCGTAAATTGGATTCGGGGTCAGAGAACGGATGCAATGCTGCAGCTGACTGATTGCTGTAAGTTGAAGCTAGGTCATGTCAGGATGAAATTCGTACCTAATGTTGGAATAATTGATAAGTAACAAGCGATTAGGAATGCTGACTCTTGGCTGGCGATTTCCGAATCACATGTGCTCTTGACTGGTTGTATCAAACTATGAGAGTGAAGTCCAAAACCACCTAGAGAGAGAGAGAGAGAGAGAGAGGCGCGCGTATACAAGGTCACCCCCACCCTAAACTTTGGTTACGTGAGAGCGTACTTACCAGCCGTGAAGTTTGGGTTAAAAGTAGAGACAACAATTCCAGCCTCTATAGCACCCAATAGGATGATGGGCCACTCCGCTGTGTTGGGCATCACAGTGACGAGTGTACTGCCGGGCTGCAGACCGGCCCGGCGCAGAGATGCCGCGAACCGCCGACAGAGTTCGCGCGCCTCTGCGTACCTGTAGTGGCGACCAGTCACACCGCATTCCTAGTCATGTGAGCCGAGACAACGGTGAGTCAAATTTGGTTTATGAAATATTGCAGAATCTCTCTCACTCACTTGCCTAGCAGCTACATCCTTTCTGCATGTTTTGCCCCACTTGAACTGGCCTGAGGAATCATATATCTAGTTACGTGTACAATTAATTTTATTATACAATTTATTTTTAATATTTACAAAATATCAGACTGCTGTATATTCTTAAAGTCAGTGACTAATGACAATGAATAATAATGGACTAAACTATTCCGTTCTCCTAAGGAGGGAAAGCGAGCTTTGTCTGTTAACGGTAGGGGAAAGGGGATCGAAGTTAAAATAGGGGAGCAGATGATAGTGTTCATTCTTTCACTGGCCGGGCTATATTTTGAACTGTACACTTGGAGAACAGCGAGCAGTTACTTATTTAAATAATCTGATGCAGCCCTGTATTAATGTCTAGACGTCATTAAAACACTGTTACTTCGTTAATAACTGAGATTCTCATATTCATAACGAATTAGGTCTTCTATGGAGCGTTATAACCGATCTGCCAACATCTTGCTTCATATTCAGGCGGTCCTGGCTTCCAGTATATTTTAATATTATAATTCCATCCAAGTCTAGATCATTCAAGCGGTTTTTTTCTCTTCAAATCTTCCGAATATAATGTTGTAAGTATTTATAATCTTCCCCATGTGAATGCAGACCAATTCGTCTTCTTTGATCTTATCAACCTAATATGGGATAAAGAATCAAATTTTTAAGCTTCTTTTTTGTTATTTTCTCCATTTTTCTTTTATTTCGTTCCTCTTATCATCAGGTTCAAATATTCTTTACAACACACTCTTGTCAGACAAAATCAATATGTGTTCTCTGTATGATAATTGTACTACTTACGAGGGCCACTTTGTTGGGCCACTGGTCAACATGCTGCCACACGTATTCTGGTACAGAGAGGGTCGGCAGTTCGACGTCTGGTAGGGGAGACTTGAGAATATGTCGGGAGACAGTAGCGAGCCGTTGTTGCTGCCTACATATCAGGCGCAGCCCGGACCTTAGAAAGCCTGCTCTGCTATGCATTGTGGGTCACAAAAACTCTGTGAATGATAGAGAAATTCGTAAATTTGAACAGAACAGAAGGATATGAAGATACTTTAGAAGAAATTTATTAATTTGGAACAAGTCTGAGTCTAAGGAAGGAAAAGAAATTGTCAATGATTATTGATCATCGTTTAGATCGGACGCCCTCCTTGGAACAGACTAAACTTTTCAGAATTTGTGAGTCACGCAGATGGTCAAACGTTTTCCCTTCTTTCATAAGACCAGGAGGTTCATTGTGGTGCTCGCAAGAGCCCGTCACTGTACCCTACCTCCAGCTATCTGAATCTACTCCACACTCCCACATCAGTTTCATTTTACGTCTATTTTAACATTATCTTTTCATATATGGGGGGCATGCGGTAGCGTAGTGGTTGAGGTTCTATGCTACAAGCCGGAAGGTCGCGGGTTCAAGTCCCGATAAGGTCACTGGATTTTTTTCAGTTCAACTGATCCTTCCAGCCGCACTAGGCCAGGAATTCATTAAATAATTTTCTTGTGGAGTAAAGCGCGGCCGGTGCGTAACGCTGACAACCTTACCGCCATCTTTGAGCCGACTGTCTAGATAATGTGGGACCCTCAACGTCTCCCAACCCTATGGGCCTTCACGGCCTGGTACAGGGATAGCTTTACTTTTTTTTTACTTCCATATATGTCTAGGTGTCCCAAGTTTTATCGTTCTCTCAGCTCTTAAAATAGAATCTTGTATTAATTTCTCCATCTTCCGATATCCTTTCTCTCTCTCTCTCTCTCTCTCTCACTCTTCTTGAATAAATCACTCTTACAGGCTCTGAAACGTACAAATTACTAAGCTCCCCATCATGCAATTTTCTTCATTCTCTTATGCCTTCCTCTTTCTTAGGTCCCTATAAACTTCTGAGAGCGTTGCTCTCAACTCTATCTGTGGGTGAGAGAGCTTTATAACATAACAGGCAGATTTATCAGAAATGTGTGTGTTGAAGGTAAAAGCATTTTAATGTTGCATTCTCCTTAAATCTAAATTTCACTTCCCCGAACCACATACATGTAATGGGGCATATTCAGCTGCAACAGACATGCGTGCGGTAATACCCAGTGTTATTACAGTTAACTCTATGTTAATTAGTCCCTTGTCAGGATGGCGTGGCGCGTCCTCTGGTTGCGGAGGGAGGGGACGATCTCCAGTTATGGTGGATATGACGCGAATATATTAAATAAACAGTTGCGGAAAGCCGATAAGGGATGGTCCTCCAACTAGGTGTGGGGTGAGCTGGGATGGCGTAGTCGGTACAGCGACTGGCTACGGGATGGACGACAAAGGAGACGGAGTTCGAGTCCCGGTAGGGTCAGCATTTTTCTCTTCTCCATAGTGTCCAAACCGGCTCTGGGGCCCACCCAACCTCCTATCCAATGGGTACCGGGGCTCTTTCCCCGGGGTGTAAAGCAGCAGGGACCTGAAGCTGACCACTCATTTCCAACTAGTGCCGAGATAAAGAAAATGTGGATCTATGCATCCACTCCCCCATACGCCTTCATGGCGTAGTGTTTAATTGGTTAAGCACAGGGACAACTTTACCTTTTACAGGTTGTTGGGAAACTGTCGTTGCTGGTGGTGATATCGAATCGGATGGGGATCTCCATTTTACCGCAAATGTTCGTGGTGCATACTGGCGATCTCAGTCCTAAGTAAAGAAGGATTCATCCACGAATCCTGTTTCCTTATTTTTTCGGACAAATTTCAGAAGATTATTTTAAATTAAGAGGCGATTCAAGATTAAATTTGATTTTTTCTTTTGAACACAGTGGCACCAGAAAAATACACTTCTTTTATGGACAGTTGGTGGCAACACTGCAGTCAACGCCTGGCACGCGGCCATACGCCCCGCTTCTCATTAGAAGTAGCACAAGATGGTGTCAGACCTTGCCACTCCTAGTGCAGAACAGCGCCTCATCGTCAAATTCCTGGCGCAAGGGAAAGTCGAACCAGCAGAAATTCTTCGTAGGTTAATAGCACAGTATGAGAAAGACCCACTCATGCGCAGGTGTCTATAATTGGTACACTAAGTTTTCTGAAGGCACTAAATAAGTCGCTAACCTATCACAAGCTCACGTTAAGCCAACAGCTGTACACGATATGAATATCTGTCGAGTTGAAGAGCTCATTTTAGGAAACAGGCGAGTTGCAGTGCGTGATATTGCATCCAACAGCGGCATAAGTGTCCGCAGTGTCAAAATAACACTACTCAAGAATGTGTGTGTCAAAGACTTTAACGATCGAGCAGAAGGAGCAGGGTGTTGTCGTCTGCCGAACACCTGCATCGGTTTGAATTGGAGGGATCCTTGACGAGACTTGGGTACACGTTTCTATTCGTGATTTGTGATGCCGTCTGTAGAGAAATAAAATCTAGAAGAGCCTTGAACCACCCTCCTAGCCTATGGCTGCTCAATTTATGATTTATTCATTATCCTATTATTAAATTCAATACAGGATTAGAATTTTAAAGCATTTTTAATTTAACAGAGAATAATAAAAGAACCTGCCGCATGCTGGCCGTCTTGGGGTATCTCTTCAAGCAATTGATTAGAAAAGAACTTCTTAAACTAACACTTGTAGTCATTTAAAGTCTTGGATAAGAGATGGTAAACGAATCAGTAAGATAAGTTCATTATTCTGTTGTTTCCTTTCTGTCATTTACAAACTTACAGTTCTTGAAGACAGCATTATGAACGAAACCTGCTCTTGGAAGTCATAATTATCAACAGTCTGTAAGTCAGAAGGAGAAATCCAAGGTCTCTGATAACAACAATATGATACAAGAGCATGAAATAACAGCAAGTATGGCCCCCAACCGCCATGACACTGCAAGATGTAAAACCGTAGCTGTTATCTGCCATGGCCACTTGCTAACATCCCATTCCCATCTGGGTCATGATGCTAAACTGAAATAAGCAGAACGGTCTGGGATTAAAGGAAGCGGAGGTCGTTATGAGGAATTCCTGTGTTTCCCTTGAAAATACACTGATATTCCTCTACAGACTTGATAAGGTCAGTTAGACGAACACGATAGAGAACTTATCAGTAAAAATAGCAAACATATCGATGTTACGTAAGATTTGAGGCTGTCACGGCGGTGACTATGAAGAAAGCAGTCTTCTGGGATTTGGCACCGTGTATATGTGGTGTTAACCGACGTTTCGGAGGAACGTATCNCAATATTACATTTAGAGTTCTGCATTTCAGCATCCCATTGCAATTGTTCAAATTAGCGTCCATTTTTTATCTTCTGTCAAAATTGCAGTGTTGAAGTGTAGAATGTAAAAGTGTTGTAATTTTGACGGACGATAAACAATGGACGCTAATATACATTTACAGATACAGATACTCGGATCTTTGACGTAATCTTGAATTCACCGGAAAACAGCATCAGCACCACCTGATGAGAAAACCTGACCCCATACTCCAAAAAAAATACATATCCTTCAGTCGTGCATGAGACTGGAAAACATGGTTTGTAGCCTGCAATATCTGCATAAAACGCAAGTAACTCACTTCGCAGTACATTTCACCACAAACTGATGAAAAGGAATATTATTTTATATAATTCATGTATCTCTCAATTAATAATTATTGCAAGTAATGAATTCTGGTGTGAAACAATAAACCATAATACGTATAGGCATATTAAAGTAATACGATGAACCACAGGACTCGGGTACAAATCGTGGCAAGAATATAATCACTCATGCAGTTCACTGAATACATTAAAATAAGAAATCAAATTTAAAACGTAAAAATATCATAAAAACGAACTCCAGTTTCCTGCTCTCCCTGTAAGAAACTGATACGCGATTGTGTAACACCTGCTACAAAGATTTTGTGAAAGATTATTATATGCGGCCGCGCCATAGCTCGAGCGGTTAGTCGCTGGCTTCCCACCGCTGCGGCCCGGGTTCGATCACAGGTCTTGTCAAGTGGGATTTGTGGTGGACATAGTCGCTCTGGGGCGGGTTTTCTCCGTGTACTTCGGTTTCCCCTGCCAATATTCATTCCACTAAATTTTCCATCATCATAATCACCCGGGGCAGGCTACAATAGGCCAATCAGTGGCCGCCGTGCCGAGTGGACCCAGTTGGACTCCACCCCCCACTAAGCGAATTAAAAACAAAATTATTATATAAGACCCACGTAAGCTTCACTATTATATATACATGATTTTAATAACAATTTTTTGTGTGTACTTCTATACAGCGAAGTTTCTTGTATATTTCATGTTACGGTAGGGGAAGGATATGCATTGGAAGGTGCAATTAACGTAATAATTTGGCGAAATTGTACTCTGCTTTGAGTTATGATAGTCTTACGAAAATTTTCTATGTATGACACCCACTTAACATGCTCTTACAAAACTGAAATATATTGCGCAGTTGGCTGTTTCTTATTTAAATAAAAGTCTTGTGTTTACACTGTTTTTTTTTCATTATTCACTATATTACATATCAAATTTATTTGTAATTGATGCGATGATTATGACGATAATAATAATAATAACAACAATAATAATAACCTTCAGTCTTGGAACGGATGAAAGTTGTCCTGAGTTCAGTAGGCTCAAGTGTAAAGTGATTCCTGCGTGTGTACTCAAGGAGCAGGCCGCCGTAACTGAAGTTGTCTGATGGCTACAGCAATGCGTCATTTCCGGTACGTCATGCATACACTACTATTACTGTAGATCTATTATGCTCAGCTCACCAAACAGAGGCAGACTGAAGAAATTAATTAGATAAATAAAACGCTTTATATACAGTGAGCCCATATGAGCTTATTGTCTGTTCTGCGTAACTGTCTCTAATCTTCTCTAGCGCAAGAATGATAAAGCAACTTTCTCGGGGTAAGTATATTTGCGTTTGCACGCGATCTTCCCTCTACTTTATTAAGAAAGAGAAAGACAACGTTATGTCTGCATGTTCAGTCTTTCTCATAATACAATAACCTACTGACGAATCCTTGTGGACTTCTCAAGGACAGCGTTCCATTCGTGATCACCAGGGCCCGGATTTTGATGACCTCAAAATATTTTAAAAATGACCTATTAAATGACCGAAAAAATCCTGAAAAATGACCTAAAGGAGAAAAGAAAGAACACTTCGCTTCCATGTTATTCACATTTCAGAAAACATATGAAGAGAAATTCCCTAAAATGGCCAAAAATGACAAGAAATATCCTTAAAAGTCCAAAAATTTACCGAAAAATTACCCCCAAAATGAAAAAAATGACCTTAAACTTAAAATGTCAAAAAATTAGCTATAAAATTTACATTTCTGTAACCAGCAGCTCATAACCGAGATTTATATATTTAAGAGCATCGCACAGGATACAAGGAAAAAAATAAGATGACATGTCATCAAAATCCGGGCCCTGGTGATCACCTTATCTTTATACTTCAAATTTGTCTATCGGTATATGAGAATTCGAGATGTAACGGTTTCGGGAGGACGGTATCGATTTTGAGAGATGTGTTACGTGTCCCGCCTGACACATATTTGTACCGCTTTCAGAAACTTTTGTATCCTAATAATAAACAGAAGCCAAGGTTTTTTTTCTGCGATTTTTATTCTCAGTTTTATTGCACATAACTTCGCCTTGGTATTTGATATTACCACCGTAAAAAAAATAATATAAAAAGGATAAATTGTTGTGACTTTCTTATTGCCAACCGGAGGAGGTCAGAAGGTGAGATGATTATATTCTCCCTCCACCTCTATCTGGTAATGTTCCAACATACGCAGCAGTTATTAAAACGTCGCTTATGTGTTACGAAAAAATGGATTTGTGTTCTAGAAAATGTGGTCACCTCCCTCATATCATTCATAAACCTTTTCGTTCCATGTATTATTTTGTTGGTCGACATTGTTAAAGTACACAGATTATGTAATGTGAATACAGATCTTGACACCATCTCCAATATGGTTAACAATGAACTTGAAAGCATAACTCTGTGCGAATTCATTCTATAAAATTCCTTCAAAGGATGTACTAATGGACGAAAACAAATATTACAAAGCCCTTCATATTCCCTCTGACCTCCTTGTTGGATTAAAATACTGTGAAAAGCTTTTTAAACGGCTACATCACAGAACATTAAAATTAAAAAAAATATATATATTATCTCAAAGTGCAGATGTAAACGCCTCAGCAGCGAGACAAGCTTCATCGCTAATATGACAGGATGTGTTGCGCTCTCAGTAAGTCCATTTTTCGGTATTCTTTTCACCAAGGTTAAAAGATTCAACTACGCGCTTTCCCTGTTTCTTTCATTGTAATTTCAAACAATGAGTTCTCACTCTTACCTGTGCGTTCGTATGCATGGTTATTAAGGGTTTAAACGTTAAACTGATACCTCTTCCCAGAAGAAAATGTTTGTTTTCGAAAGTTCTTTAACGCCAATATCCATTTCTAATTTGTGACAAAACTTATGTAAATAAAATGACATGTACATCGTGTAAGAGCTTTTTCTCTGTACGTCATGGAGGTAGAAACCATATACAGAAACATATTCATGCAAATAGACATAAAGAATCAAGAAGTTCTAGGAAGAAATAATAGCATACTTTCTTTTGATTAGACAAGGACCCTAACAGAAAACTATAGTGTAACAATTCTTCTACTTTTGCTTGTGTATTCGTTGCTACGTAACGGTATATAAAGTTGTCCCTTTTCTTAACTAATTAAGCACTATGCCATGAAGGCGTATGGGGAACTGGATGTACAGAACCATGTTTTCTTGACCTCGGCACTAGCTGGAAGTGAGTGGTCAGCTTCATGTTCCGTTTGCCTCCGGGGAAAGTATCCCCGGTACCCATTGGAAAGGAGGTTGGGTGGACCCCAGAGCCGGTCTGGATGACGTGGAGAAGAGAAGATTCTTGATCCTACCGGGACTCGAACTCCGACTCCTCGGTCGTCCAGCCCGTAGCCAATCGGGCTATCGTAGCCCGGCTCCTACGCAGCAAGGAGTAAAAATTAAAATTCTCGAGCTCACAAACTAGTGTGAGAAATCTTCTACACAGTTAACTTGGAAAACCGTACGTCTTCCTGAAGAAGCTAAACCCATTCATAAAGCAGTGTCACTTTCAGTACGTAGCACAAAGGCAAGCTTCGGTGGGGATTAAAGAAGAAGAAAAATGTCTCTGAAAGGCTGAAATAAAATAAAGAGGGACAATTCTGATGTGGGCTGCGTAGCATATGCAGTATATGGTACACAGAACCGTTCAGAAGAGCAACAGTCTGTTTACCCGCGGATCAACAGTTCCGTATTTACACTGTGCGTATTCAAACACTGAGAGATTTTTACGACTTTTTTGACGTGCGATATAAGAATATATTGGGCTACTCTAAAACATGGTGGATTTTTCTGATACCTGTCGTTAAAAGATTCGTGTTTGTGTATCCAGTTCTTGTTTCATGATTCTTATCAACTGAGAATTGTCTCACCATGTAGAAGACATTATTAAAGTAAAGAGCCACTTCTGTTTCTGGTTTTTCCGTAAAATCAACTGGAGTTGTTTAATGATTGTATACGTGAATTAACTTCAAAAAGGCAATATCTCAGCAGCATAAGTGAAATGCCGTATTGGTAAACATTTAAAACTGAGAAGGTAGTAATTTACGAACTCTGCAAGGAAGTAATTTTCTTGTTAATATGAAGAAGTTTAACATCACATAAGTCTGACTCCCGTCAGTGACTTTTATGGTACAGCAAGTACATGCTTTACAGAATGGATCCATCCATTTGAAGTGCGTATCACTGGCAACACTGTAGAAAAGTCATACCTGGGAAAAAGTTGGTATGTCATTAGAATTTATGACACAAAATAAAATAATCCTGAGTGAGTCAATTGAAGAAATAGGAGTATTTGATTAATATTTTTGTTTCACAAAATTCGGCAAGGTGAAACATGAAATGTGGAATGAAAGGGAACTAGAAGAAGACGAGAGTTGGCAAGAAATATTCCGGCATTAAAATATATATATATACGATGGGGTACCCAAAAGAAACCGAACTAATTTTTTTTTGTGGGCAGAGCTTTTGTAGTACCGCGTTTTGCCGCTATGAGCCCATAGAGCTAACATTCCTGAGTCGATAAGCCGACTACCGTTGCTTCAGAAGGTAAGGACTAGTTTCGGCAGAGTTTATAGTGACAACTGTTTTGTGTGACCGTCGTTTTTGCAATGGCTGATTTTCTTGAACAGCGTGCTGCGGTGAAATTCTGCTTTTTGCTCGGAAAAAGTGGAACAGAAACTCTTGAAATGTTAAAAACGGCCTATAAGGACGATGCTATGGGGAAAACTGAAGTGTTTGAGTGGTTTTCCCGTTTAAAAAATGGTGAAATGTCAATTGATGACAAACCTCATTCTGGTCGTCCTTCCACGGCCCGAACACGTGAAAATGTTGAAAAAATTCGTGAAATCATCAAGGAAGATCGACGACGGACCATTGAAGAAATTGTGCACTCGTAGAATTTCCTTTATCTCTGCCAGGAACAAATGTAGCTGCGGAAAGTGCGTTTTCACAGATGAACGCCTCATGGATGGATAACAGAACTTGGTTACAAGTGTGCACGGCGAAATCAGTAGTCCTAGTCAAGCATTCCTTTCGTAAATATTACGTGCACAGAATTTCACGAGTTTCTCATAAGAAATCTTTTATAGCAACTGTCTCCCGAATCGGATACATCAACTGTTCCTTCTTCCTAGCTATGCTCTCATCGTGTATCCCAGTCACAATGATGATCTTAGAAACGGTATAAGAGTGCGTCCATTCATATTTGGCGAACACCCATCGTTTCCCTGTATTGGAACCCCTTCGTATTTACATTTTATGTAGTCAAAATACCCAAATAAATAGAATTAAAAGGATATGAAATGGCTCAAAATTAGTACTAAATTTCTGTAGAAGTAAACGACATCTGTTCCTCGTCGAGCTAGCTGTTTATATTATTTTCTAGTGACTTTTCACACGGGAAATACTGATAATATCACAAGAAACATCGGAAGTGCAGCAGCCGCGAGAGTGTGCTAGTGGTTAGGGATAAGAAACTTCCGAATCACAGTGCATACATAATTGTTTGTTTCGAGCCATCTCCAAATCCTTGAGCAATTGCCCTTCTTAATCTAGATCAAAGTTCAAAATATTTATAGATTCTCACTTTACAAGCTTATTTTTGTTACATATTGATATTCATATTACGTCACTTCAAATGACCTACCAGAATCTATCATTCATATATTGATAAGTTCCACCACCACCACCACCTTCAACATCTTCAGCCATTAGCGCACATAGTCATTATCATCAGCATGGAACTCTAGTTGAAATAAACGTTGTTGACCTTCCGTTATTGAAGGAAAGATATCGGGACGGATAGAAGTGACCAGAAGACGAGGAAGAAGACGTAAGAAGATGCTGGATGACCTTGGGGACAGAAGAGGATATTTTCATTTGAAAGAGAAAGCTCTAGATCCCATCAAGGGGAGGAAATGTTTTGGAAGAGACTGTGGACCTGTCGTCTTGACAGATTACTGATGAATGAATGAATGAATGAATGACCTTCCGTGTTCTTTTGCCAGAGTGATTCGTACTGGAAGCATTGGATTGGGTTTCAGTTTTTCTATACGTGCAACTGAAAGACGCGGACCAATTCCGTCATTCTTACGAGTATATAAACTTCGCAATAAACACGGTGAGCTGCCAGAGAAACTTGAATAATATCTCTGAAAGAATATAAATATCGTACAGAACCTGAGATCGGTGTTTCAGTTGGGAATCGAATCCACTGAATTAAAAAAAAAAACTGCAGGCCTGTTTGATTTCAAATTGATGTGTACTATTCTATAATTCAACCAAAAAGGTGGGTGGGTGTTGGTTTTCATGTGATGAGAGTCAACCCAGTCACCGTCAGTCAGTTTCCAATACTGCTACCGTACGACTTAATGTACTTTATTGATGAAAATGGTGATTTTCAATTGGCTCTCTGTTGTTAGCTAATTACACCTGTGGCTATACAAATGTAAAATTAAGGACCAAGTCGGGTACAGCATAGACAAGCTAGGGGCTTAAATTTTAAGTGACTTGCTGAATTTTCTCTTCCGACGCGTCTCCCATTATTGACGACAGAGAGAGCATTGTTGATTGCGGTAAAAGTCTTACGGTCTCGCGCTGCAATGTGCGATGTTTCTCAGAGGATAAGCATAAGAAACTGGGGAAGGAAGGGAATCATAGCTGCAGTCGACTGGAGAACTTTCACTCTTAGTCGGCATATGGATGCTATCGTCGTTGAAGATCATTTTTTAAAAACACCACGAAAACAAGGCGTCTATGAATTACAGTAGGCAGTTGATGACTTCTAGCGACTGGTGAATTTTAGCCTACAGCAATTATTGTTGAGAGCCGGGAATTCACGCTGAGATAACCACCAATTCATACCTTTATTTGCATGTTTGGATTAAGTTACACCGCTTATCTGTAGACGTATCAAGGGCTAATGCCCGCCATACACACACAGTTTGGCCTTCCGATCGACCTTACAGGCAAAACTGTGACAGTTTACCTCGTCCTTTTCCTCCCCATACACGCGCAGATAAAGCGGCAGGCTTCATGCCACTGTCACGGTCTTCCAGCCTATAATGTTGAGTCACACACGTCACGTGCTACGGTCCTGCAGGCAGAACTGACGGACTGACGGGTTTCCCACAGGCCAACAGTCCAAACGATTGGCCGGCCGGCCACACCACACACGTCAGTTTTGCCTTTCAGTCTTCAACTGTGCAGGCCGAACTGGAGGCCAAACTGTGTGTGTATGGGGGCCCTAAGACACATTTTTCTTATATTTGGATACACTTTCATATTTATCCAAGATATTTGAATTCCTGAGTGGTTAGCTCAGTTCATCCAGTGCCTAGGCTATAAGCTGAATGACCGGGTTCGATTCCCGTTAGAGACATAAATTTATATCTTTATCGCCGTGTCCAGGTCTGTTTTGGGGCACACCCATCCTTCCATCCAAAAGGTACGGGGTTAATTTCTTCGGAGGTAGGGCAGGCAGGGAGTGAAGCTGAACAGTGATCCCACCTAGGGCTGAAGTAAGAAGGCGTAGAGCTATATCTCCACTCCCCCATCCACCGTCGTGGTGTGGTGTTTAATGACGCACAGAGACAACTTCACCTCACCTTACCATAGGTTAACTTAGTTTGCTTCAGTCTGCCTTCAGTATAAGAAATAATAAAAAATTATATCGAAAGATTTTTACGTAACAATCGCACACGAGCGCAAACAGCTGTACACAGACGCTCATTGACATGGAGGAGCATTACACCGGATGGCAGCATTCCACGCCTTTCTTTTCTCAATGGCACTAAGTAGGTTGTTTTAGAGTTTCGTATTGCACTTCTGACGTTATTGTGGTCACTTATTGCATGAATTCCACAATTTGTATTTCTATGACATATTCCACATCCTACAGTCATTTTGACTAACTTTGGATCCATGGAATGCAATGCATGTAATGTAAAAATCTCTCCTCCTGATCACTGTTCTTCTCAGTGGTCATTTCATTTTCTGCCACTGGATCTAATAAAATGTTATCAGATCCAATAGCATGCTTGTATATGTTAGCATAAACAGATGATAATACAAGGCAATTAGATATGGCTTGGGAATAAATAAGTTGATGAAATGTGAGGTATATGTGGGATGATGAAACAGCTCTCACCTCTGGAATTCAGTTGTTCTCTCAATTACAATTAACTTCTTTTTTGTTGTGACACATACCTCTCTTAATGCGAAGTGTACACATGTTTATCACATTAAGAGGGGCATATGGTGAGAAAAGGGATTCTATTCAATCCTATGACTGCTCTCTCTCTCTGTGGCTTTGAGTGATTACAAAAGTCATCAACTCACTGAAATATAATTTGATTTTATCTAACCAAGATACATAAAGTAACGGGTTTCAGAGCAAGTGCCTCAGGATTAATAGAGATGATGCATTATATTCAGGGTGTGTCTGATTGTGCACAGTGGTATGCTGTACCAGTGCATTTCTTTACAGAAAACAGAAATATGGTAATAACATTTATTTAAAGAAAGCAGTCTTCTGGGATTTGGCACCGTGTATATGTGGTGTTAACTGATATTTCGGAGGAACGTATCGCCTCCACCTTCAGGGTAGAAGGAAAAATAAGAAATCTGCAAGCAAAGAGACCGTGAGAACCGGTGCAAGCAGACTGGTCTGCTTACAACATTTGATTTATTTACATTCAAAGAAACCACCACCTCAAGGNGAATGAGATGTCCTGCCACTGCCAAAGCAAGCCAGTGGGTTAAAGTCCAAAAATATTCTATGTTAAAAGATTACGAGCATTACATTCAATATACATACACAGGCTTCAATTGTCTCAGAGGATAAGTCACTAATGCACATAAAAATTTAGCAGTCAAAGGATCAAACACAGAAAAGGCTGTCAACAATACAAACACAGAAATAAAATTAGTATGAGTTGTTGCATTTATATAAGACTTAAAAGTTATACAAACATGTAAGTTTCAAAAAGTCTATCAAAACAATACAAAGCAATAATAAAGCTGTTTATTATTTGTTAATTCAAATTATTTCATACTTGTATTCATTCGAGCTGCATACGATGCCCACTGCGTGAACCACCTGCAAAGGCAGAAATTAACTCTTTATAATTATTCATAAAGTAAAAGTAAGTAAAGGTATCCCTGTAACAGGCCATGGAGGCCCATAGGGTTGTGAGATGCTGAGGTTCCTACATTTTCTAGACAACTGGCTCACTGATGGCGGTAAGGCTGTCAGCCTTATGCGCCGGCCGCCCTTTACACCCAAGAATATTTTGGTACTCATTTCTGTTAGAAGCTGAGTTGAACCCAGGGCCATAGTGCGGCTGGAAGGATTAGGTCAATTGAAGAAATCCAATGACCTCATCAGGACGTGAGCCTGCGACCTGCCGGCTTGTAGAATAGTGCCTCAACCAACTATATTACCGCATGCCCCCATAGTTATTCATAACTACACAAAAAGAATATATATTTCAGAGTGTCTGAGGAAGCAGAATAAGTGTTGGTAAAGGACTGGATCAAGTTTTAAGTCCAAAAATATTACAAGGTTTGAAACCAGTTACAACTTATGTAATAAGTCATTAGACACTGCAACCTCCTGCAGTGCCATATTTTCTATACTGAACCTACCCCTTCCTTTCTGCTGTTTTCCCTGCTAACCTACTCTACTCTCCCTTCCTTTCTCATCCCTTCCCCTCATTCCTATACCTTGCACACTACAGACCTGGCTGTAGCATGTATCCTAGCAGATACCGAAAACTCCCAGCACTATGACCAGTTGCATCCCAGACACATTACAGCAAGCAGGCAGTAACTAGCTTTGGAGATCCAACCATGAATTTTGCTACTTAGTATTCTGTGCCTACAACTAACCCGCCGCCACGTAACATCTACCACACATCTAGGACACACTACTTCCCCCAGACACATACCAGCAACAACACACTTGCATACTGTGTCATATCCACAATGTATAAGATTCTTCACCAACATAGCATAATACACCCTATACAACCCCAGGCAGCCTCATATACACACACACCATTTCAATGAACGTCCATCAGTAATATAAAAACATTAAACTAACAACAGATACACCATTATTCTTGTCGTTTTAATTGTCCAGACATACCCTTCCTACGCCACACTTAACACTTTATTTACTTTTTTCAACATTTATTACAAGTTAAGAAAATCATTGTAATTTAAACTTCATATATACATTGCATCACTTAACCTTTAAGAGCCGGCATTTAAACCCCCCACGACTGCGCTGCTGCCGGAGTTAATTTGACGTTGCCCTTTTAATATTGTAGACTTTCAGAAAAAACTACATATTTTCCGTTCTATGCAGCTTAGAAATACGAACTAAAAACCGCCTGAAAGAGAATGAAATTTCCTACAATATACCTATGACAATTTTTACAAATAAAAATTAACTGTAATTGTTATGTCATGAAATTCAAAATATACTCTCTATTATATGTGTAATGAAATTCCAAAAGACTTACCCATAATTTTTTCTTCAAATTTGAGACGTCGTTATATCCAAAATACATTGACACTATACACCAAAATGTTTGGTCAGACTGTACACGAGTTTCAACTCGTTGCGTCGTGTAAGTTTACGCTACTATAGATACTGCGTGCGGGAGCGCGGAGAGGCAGAGTTTGCTTCAGCGCGTTGTGAAGGTCACACAGACCTCACTTCTCATACGCTGGTAGACAATCTGGTTCAGTCTCTCGCTTAGCGAACAAACAGGAAGTTATTGTTTCTATCTGGCTGTCCGGACAGTGTTGTCAATGTTCAGTTCCAGATGACTCAATGAAAAATCTTGGCTTCCCCAGAGAAACAGTCCGCCACTGACTCACAAGCTGATAATTCAGACACTCACTAAACACGTCACACTTCCTTGAGAGCTACAGAAGCAGTGATCTGCCCGCACAGAGGAATGTTGGGTCAGCTTTTCTCTGAAGAAGCTTCCACTCTGTTTGGCTGACCAAGTCACAAACTGTCTTACATACATGTAAACGAAATCGAACCCAGTGCCATGATGAAGGGTTTTATTGTTCAGAGCCAACAACTGGACCTCTGACTTGAACTTGCGTGTGTTTGTTTTGGTTTCAAACTCAACGTCTAACCGTCAGTGCTTCTAAAGTGAGCACGTGTCTTGCGTCCAGTATACTGGACTTTCGGCATCTTCGAGGTCACAGGTCACGTCCGGTATACCGGACTTTCGGTCGTTAAAGGTTAATACAAGAACTGATGATGACAGTTCTCTTTATAAGAATTTCATTTATTTATTTACAAACCACCAGATGATCGTCCATGCGTCTAACACGTGTAATGGCTGAACAAAACAATAAAACTGATTAAACCACTGATACTGTAATTGACTTTAATATATTTTATTAAAATTGAATTTACTTCATTGTTATGTCAATGGCTTCCATACCTTATAACATAAGAGGATGCAAAAAATAAAAATTGTTGGTCAAGTTGTGACTGAAATGAATGTATCTCTGCTGTTTGGCGCTGAACTACACAAAGACCATTATGCTCTTCTGCTAGTTTACATAAAATAAAATATTGGGTATATATGACAGTTTGTTTTTATAGACAACCCCTGTTGAAGACATTTGCTCTCAACCTCAGCTTGGTTTAGAATATTCCACCAAGTTTCTTTGCATAAATGTATCTGCCGTTCCAGAACTTTTCATTTGCAGGCAGGTACTTTTGGAGATCTTTTTAAGCCACTTCCTGTTGAAATTACAATAGGCTTTACGTTAGTCAGTGAACATAATTTCGCATCACAACACTCATGTTTATCTCTAGTATGTCTGTGCCTAAGAATAAGGCTACAGAGATGCACTGGGGATGATAAAACTCCAAGCATTCTTAGCTTTTGCATAAATGGAGGCAACTGTCAGTTTCTTGCTCCAGCTGCTTTAATCCCAGCAAAAGAGCCCTAGGTACATGCTGGACATGATGGAGAAGACATCAGTTTTTCCCCTGATTAAACTGAACCCTGGACATCTTTCCCATAAAATATTAATTTCAGAAATTTTATTTTAATGATGATACTGAATACTTAATATCCCTGATGAGTTTCTTGATGGTTTGTAACCAGTTTTATTGAATCATCTGGAACTCGAAATAAATTACAGTTACAAATACAGTAGAACTTGGTTATAACGTCATCAAAGGGACCTAAAAATAGTGTCGTTATAAACGAATGTCGTTGTAACCGAAATGGGCACTTCCACAGTAGCCTTATGTTAGTCACGTAAAAATCTACCAAAACCGAGTTAAAATGTTGCATTTTTTAGTGAAATACGTAGTTAAGTATAGACTAACGTAACATTAACGTGGAATTGCCCAAATGTGTAATATCAAAGACATATTACAGTGCTTTTCACTGATAATACACACTGCACTAATACTGTATATTAAAGGTAGGCCTACTCACCAAATTACAGTAGATTACATCAATTGTTGTGCCTTACTGTACCTAGATACGAGTACAGTAATCAGTTATCTTCATCTGTTTCCTGTTACTTGCCCAATACACACTTTCTAAATTACGTTCAATGTCCATATCAGAGAAATTCAGGAATGAAAATGACGTTACATACGAGGTTGATGCATTTGTGCATGTCGTACTAAGCAAGGTATAAAAACAGTTGCTTTATGAGGAATTAGTTCGTACCATTGAATATCTGACGCAATAGACAAGGTGTCACAGAAACCGATGTTGCTATAACCAAGTTTTACTGTAATTTCAAGAGTCAAATCAATTTCACCCTCACACTTACACTTACCAACTTTCATATTCAGAACAATTCTTTTCAAACTCCACATTTCAGTTGTTGGTAAAGTTGGGCGAACGCTTCTCGACAAATGCAGTCATGCCTTCCTTACGATCCTCCTGCAAGAAAAAAGATAATAAGAAATGTGCAACTTTTCATATGTGAAAAGTGTTACACAATCCTTGCAGTAACATACCACGGACTGCCATTATTTGAGCCCAGTTTCAAAATACAAACTAATGTCAATACCTCAACACTTACAAGCACTTCTGATTTAAAGCATAGGCAACAGCCTACAAAACATGACTGTCTAACTATGCAGGACATATAAAACTTTCAACTCTTATCAACATATTTTTTTTTGTAACTATTCATTATGGAATTTCAGAGGGACACCAGTCATACCAATCTGTGTAAGTACCTCCTCCTCCACCAGTCTGGCTCAAGATGGGTTCCAGTGGTCAAACGTTTCCAATAAGGCAGGGAATTTCTTAAGCACTGTAGTCATTATCACCCTTAAAAACATTTTCTGTTCCGTAAGTCATTACACTGAATCTGTATGCTCTCAAAACCATCACTGAAAATATACTGTGACACGACAGCTAAAATATTGGAACAGTTGAGCCAGATAAGATGGTCACTGCATAGTAATGGCCAATACACACGTCTCCTTGGCAACGGACATGCAGCAAAAATAGAGGAATTGTTGGAAGAGATTTTTCCTGTGGTCCGTGCCAAGAATATATAGTGAGAGCCGTCAGAAAAAGAGCCAGTCATGGCTCGGTACTCAACACTTGGACATTTGGAATGATGACTTAGGTGCAAGGTTGTCGCCAGCCAGTAACGAGAGGAGCAGAATGACATTGTTGCCATCTGACACCAGGCAATGACTAGTGGAGACAAACTGACAAGACTCAGTATGTGCTATAGTGAATTGTAAAGTGTGTATATTAGCAAGAGCACCACAATTGTCACAAGTCGTAAGAGCTCAATAAATCCAATTACCTACCCAAACCCCGTGTCAAGTAAATAATACGTCACAATGTAATAAATATTGAGCAATAAACCAAACTTACAGTGGCAAATGTGGCATGGAACAACCTCTTTTCAAAATGAAGTCCTTCCTGTAATGATGTTTCATATGCTGTAAAGAAATAACAATCAATTCAAACCCACTGATTTTAACAGGAAGTAAATCATCAGCTTCAATTCTTGCTTACAGCATGAGCATGGAAGAGGACCTAGCATTCAATCCTTTAAAAGGGAGCAACAGGATTAAAATCTCAAGAAGTGAAACATACTGTGTTTTCATATACAATTCTGTGGATGGAAGGAGAAGGGAGAGGAGAGGAGATGTTACTATGCTACATTTTTCAGTTGTTAGACCATCATCAGGCACTTCACAAAGTATTAAAAACTTGGGCAATGATACTAAAATGTTTAAATCAGAGTTAAAGAATTATCTACATGCTCATTCCTTCTACTCTTTAGATGAATACTTCAATGTAAATAGAGAATGATGTAAAATTAAGTTATATTAATTTTTAAGCTAAAATTGCCTGTACTTATGTATGTAACCTTTTGACTTGTTCTGTATCC